TAATATTACAGTATATAAGTATAAAGTAACAAAATAAAAGAACAAGATTATAGTAGATTGAAAGAGTATATAAATGCATATGAATAACGTGAGGTAGTAAACTATTGAGTAAAATCGGATATTAAATAAAATAGTGCGAATATTTATAAAATGCAAACATGAATAAAATCGAAAGGAAAAGTACAAATATTTATGAGAATATATAGTTCAGTACGTTTGAATGAATATTATATAAAAGGTGAAAATCATTAATATTTAAACATAAACACATATGAATATAATTGTAATATGTAATATAGTAATTGATAATAAGATCAAATAAAAGCATAAAGATTATAATTATAGTATGTTATATAATCAAAGTATAACACAGCCCAACAAAATTTCCCTAATTTCACGTTGACTTACAAATATAAGTCGATTCCGATAGGATTTTTTCCGCAGAATCCAAATATGCCTATAAAAATATTGAATTCGCTCTAGTTTTTAAACAACTGAAGATCAAAAGGGTCGAATCACACGATTTTGCCAAATTTTGAGTGTCTATCAAAAAGGAACGAGCAACAATATAATTGTCTTCCCGTGACGAAAAGAAAGCTCGAGTATTGTTCTTTCAAGATATGGAGCACGAAATTAGATGCAGTGAATTTTAAACACGTTTTTTTCATGTGAATGTGTGCGTGTAGGTCGCTACAGGCGTGTAGATCGTTACAGGTCGTTACGTTGAAAGAAGTCCCTCCGCAATCATAACCAAGAAGACCAGAGGCCGACTTGGTCAGGAGAAGTGTCAAGAGGACGGTATACATCTGCAATTATATTACAGGCATTATATTACTTAATTAAGGAAAATTTAGTTGAAATTTCAACCCGGTTCTGTGATATGGGATAATCGCAATTTATTAGCATGAACTAATCTAGTGGTGTTCTTAAATTGGATCCGTATATTCTCATGGTCGAGGATTTCGAGGATTTTATAAGGACCTGAATATTCATCAGAGAATTTATTTATCTTTTTCTCCGTTTTCAGGAATACATAATCGCCAACTTGAAAGTTCATTTGGTTTAATCTTCTGTCGTAATAATGTTTAGAACGGATTTTCGCTTGTTCTAAATTACTTCTAGTAGTTTCCTGTGCTTCACGGACGCGATCAAAAAGTTCGAGTAGATAGTGCTGGTACGTTCCAATTTCCTTTTCTGTGGGCTTTTGGCCTGTGGGAATTCTAGCGGTTCTTCCGAATATTAGCTCATGCGGTGTAAACTTCGTACCTTCGTGGACGCTCGTGTTATACGAGAATGTTGCTCTCTCCATGAAGTCGTCCCATTCTTCATTTTTGCTGATAAATGCTTTCAGGTACTCAGTAAATACGTGGTGAGAACGTTCGACGGATCCGTTAGCTTGAGGATGGTAAGCGGAAGTACGAAAATGTTTGATTCTAAAACGTTTAGCGATGTTTTTCATCAAGTAGCTTAAGAAATTTGTTCCCTGATCAGTCAAAATAGCTCTTGGGCATCCAAAACGGCAGATGAAGCTATTGACAAACGCATCGGCAGTGGTGATGGCACTCGTGTCTCTCATAGGTACGGCGATTGAGTATTTAGTTAGCAGATCCTGTATGATTAAAATGTATCTGTTACCACGTTTTGTTTGAGGTAAGGGGCCCATTACATCCATAGCGATTTTGTCGAATGCGAATCCTGGTGTATCTGTGAGAATCATGGGTTGTCTAGTTTTGAGCCTTACTAATTTTTTTAGTTGGCATTCGCGACAGTTTCGTATAAATTCTTGAACTTGGGTTTTGATATTATCCCAGTAGTAATTTTGACGAATTCTAAGGAAGGTTTTCGTCACACCCTTATGCCCACCCGCAGTCGAACTATGACATTCACCAATGATGTTTGATCTTTCGTCCTTAGGCGGGGGGAGGGGGGGAACTACGGTGAGGTTTTCGCATATGGTGATAGTGATCGGTCTATGATCGAAGACGTTTTGTAATTCTTCGGCAACTAAAGGCCAAGGTATGTCATCTAATTGTTGAGTTTTTGCTATGCTTAAAGAAGACAGTTGGAGTTCAGTAGTGACATCTAACAAAGAACGAATGGCTTCTTGAAGTATGTCCCAGTCAGTTATAGTGGTCCGTCTCTCTTTGATAGGCAATGCTATCAGATTTTTAGTGCCAATAGTGCGAGGAAACACACGGGCTCGTCCAAGTGTTAAATCGGTTAAAGGTGGAATCTTATTTAATTGTTGAAATTCTTTAGCCCCGTTATCGAATGGATGTCCATCGGTTGTTACTAGAATCACAACATGATCTCTCCGAATGAATAGTTGATCTCGAACCGTTCTTATTCTGGCTTGTGTAAGGTATTGGTTCATTGTTTCGTCGTCTTCGTCTGTCGAATCGGATTCGGCAGTTTGCTCGTCAGTGTCGGTATCATTAGCAGGAGGTAATTGTGGGTGCTTTCCAGCTACGAAACACAGTGTAACATTGTGTGACACAGTGTTACACAGTGTCGGCTTATAGCTGAAACGCTATTTAGCTTTTTCATTTCACCGCTAGAGTGAAGTGCAGTCACTTTACACTAGTGTTTCTAATAGGAAAAGTATTCTGGTATATTTACTCGGTGAATTTGATCAACGGTTTGTAATTTTAATTAAAAAATCAAAATATCAAATTGCATCAATAAAGGATTTGCCAAGTGCCAACATTAATTTTAACAAGGCTCTATTTTAATGTTTATTTTACAACGATTTATTTGTGAAAGGTAATAATATATACGTATATATACATACATAATTTTATTTTGTTAACAAAATTAATTAATTTTATTTATCAATTAAATAACCTTTATATAGATGAATATGCAAGAAAAAGTAGCGGTTAATCTTTTAACGGAGAGTATAGTAAATACCAGTTCAAGTACAGAACAAGAAAACTCAAATATCAGTGAAACAGATTGGAATAATAGTAGTCTTTCAGTCAGTAATACATCTTCAAGCACTGAAGAAAATGACGATTTAATCTTATTTCCCCTAATGAAATATTTGATGAGTGGATATAAAAGACATCGGGTCGAACATTACCTTCATGTTGTGGATAGTTGGACAGATTTAGAATTTAAAGAGCATTTGCGACTAAATCGTATTACAGCAATTCGATTAATAGGTAATATTTACTCAAAAAATTGAAATTTTTAATTTTTAAACATGAGTTTTCAATATTTGAGGCCTCTAATTCTTTATATATTTTAGATCAATTGCATGAAAGTGGATATATTCCTTCACATTCATTTGGAGTAAAACCAATAGAAGCAAAACTCAGTTTTCTTATATTTTTGTGGCACATGGCGAACACAGAACCTCTACGAACAATATCAGATAGATTTAACGTCTCTATTTCATCTGTCTTCCGAGTAATTCGCCGAGTAACAGCTTGGATTTTAACAAAATTAGATGATATTATTAAGTGACCTAATGGACAACACGTCGCATATGTTTGTCAACAGTTTTATGCTAAGAGAGGCATTCCAAATGTAATAGGGGCTATTGATTGTACTCATATTAGGATAGAGAAACCTAATGTGGAAAATGCAAGAGATTATTGTAATCGGAAAAAATACTTCTCTATAAACTTACAAGCTGTTGTAGATTCGGATATGAAATTGACTAACATATATTGTGGTCAACCGGGTTCTCTTCATGACGCACGAATTCTAAAAAAGTCACCATTATACAGTTCAGCTTGTGAGAATAGAGAAGTAATTTTTCTAGATGGAAAATTTATACTTGGGGATTCTGCATATCCATCATTACAATGGCTTGTTCCTCCTTTCCGTGATAATGGTCACCTTACTCCCCATCAAACTGAATTTAATTTCATACATTCTTCAACGCGTATGGTTGTAGAAAAAGCATTTGGCTATCTGAAAGGACGTTTTCGACGAATTAAATTTTTTACAGAATATTGCAATTTACCATTTATTACAAATACAATTGTAGCTGCATGTATGTTACATAATTTTTGTTTAGACTGTGGTGATGAAAATTTTAATGATAATGTGGAATGTGAGGAACTAAATGATATTGTTAATATAGATGATTTGGACGAAAATATTAATTGCGGACTGTTAGTTCAGTTAGATCGAAGAATGCAAGTATTCAGAGAAATATTTGATCAGGAATAAATATGTATATGTATAACTGAGTATGAAAAATTTATGTATATGATTATGAAAAAGTTATAAATAAAAATATTTGACCATGACACACAATTGGAAGATAAACATTGTTTTATTTAAAAACTCTACTCACAATAGTACAATAGTAGTAATTCTACTGTAACAGGTACAATAGTAATCTTAATGAAAAAAAAAACGAAAGACATTAGATTGAACATTACATTTTCATTATAGCTAATTAGACTTATAGAACTGTTCTTTAATAAAAACAAATTATAAAAAAATAATTGGTAGTAAATAGTCATCTACTCGTTATAGCTATCAAAGATAATTTTCCTATTTATTTCCTTCTATAAAAATAATCTTTTAATAATTGTATTTCAATACGTTATATTGCAAACTTCTGATGTTACTTGGTAAATTATATTCTAATCTCAACTAAAATATAAAATGTATATATAAAATTTAAAAACAAGTAAAAACATAAAATAAAAGCAGAAGCATATTTTATTTACTGAATAATATGCTTTAGAAAACAGGCCAAAACTGAAAACAATCATCTACTATTCATCAGAATCATCGGAGATATCCTTTACATTTTCTTGATTTAATAATTTTTTTAATAAGTTGCTTTTTTTTCTATTCTCATTAATTCAGTGTGTCTATTTTCTTTGTCTTTCAATTTTTTAAGTAATAGTTCCTTTTTCTGTTCCATCTGTTTTCTTTTTAAAGATACCATTTGTTTCTTTAACGTAAAGCTTTCAATTGCTCTGTTCTCAGCTATTATATGCCTTTTATGACGTTCAGTATCTCTTATTTCTTTAGTTTCTAGAAATTTTAGCCATTGTTGTTCAATGTTTATTTTTTTATTTGCTAAGTTCGATCCTGTTCCATGGCGGGGACGAATTTTTGCTTCTGTATTTTTATTATTCAATGGCGAGGCAATTGAAATTGTAGCAGCAGACGCGATGGGACTTGTAAGATCACTTATAACCATATCTGGTGATAATGATTTGGAAGTTCCACAACTTATAATATGTCTTTGATCGGATAATGCAGGTTTGTCGACTTTAGTTCCTATTATTTTACTCGATACAGTGTGGGCGGCAACAGCATCTTTATTTTTGCCAAATATTTCATCCAATTGACTGTACCATTTAAATTCAATTCTACCTCTGCCTGACTTATTGTTGTTATCACAACAATCTTTGTATTTTTTTTGTAATATATTCATTTTTCATCTAACCTGATCATTGGACATCTGAAGAAACATTTTTAAAAATGAAAAGCATTGTTATGACACGGTATGTGTGTATGTGTATGTGCGTGTACAACCATCCTATATTATATATTGTACATAAAGTTGGAGTATTATAGTTGGAGTTTATAGTTAAATACTCAAAATTTAGAATTGTTCTCTTTAAAGACAGCATATAAAATTATTTTATTTTGTTTAGAAAAAGTCGTTTCTTTATCAT